AAAACTGCTGGTCGACAATAGATCTACCCGTCGACAGAGAGTGTATAAAAGGATGGAAATACTGGTCCTTTTCCTTCTCACCGTCTATAGCCCTGTTTTCGTACAGTGCGCCTTCACTTGTATGAACAATGAAAATCAGTCAACGAATTGGTAAGTTCATTTTTGTGTTACCCGTGTTATCTGTGTAGTAATTAGGTTCGTCGCATATAAATTGCCGCAAAACAATTTTTCCAGCATACCTGCGATGCGTATCGGAATGGCATACCTATATGTTGACAGCAAATATCCAAATTCGTGGGTTCTATCGCGCGTCAGCATCAACTGGCCAAACAGCGCACCTGGCTATACATTGAGTGCCTACTATTCTTCCCTCAAAATTGCAGACACGTTGGCATTGTTTTACAGTGACCGCGGCTACGGGGTTCAGGCGAATATTACGGCAGGACGTGCGAAAGGTACACAGACACAGGGACCACTGTCCATGTTTGATGATTGCTACTCATTGAATTTAATTTTCACTTTTTTTAAACGAAATGAAGGTGTGGTGGTCACGTCGAAAATCGCCGGATTTTGGATGTCGCACTCGGTTCCAAATTTTCCTTCGCCTGGGCAGTATTCTTTTCCGCTCACCGAGGCTACACGCGCTCATATGCTCATTTGCTTATCGACTTCCATCAGTGGGATCTCAGCTTTAGGTTGCTGCAGTTTTTTACCTTCAGACCGTAAAGTCTTGAGGTCATTTAGCTACGGTTCTTCAGTACAGCAGTCCGTCGGTGTTCTATAAAGTTTTACCGGATTGGTCCTTGGCATATTCGGCATTCGTACGACTTTACAATGAGCAGCCTCTTTCCGGCACTCCTTATCGAAAGTCTCTGCCGCTTCCCGTTGGAAGTCTGGCCAGTGTGTATGCTTTCGCCAAGATTAACAGCATTGACGAAGGCAATAAGGCTGGCATCGATCGCGAATTCTGTCGATTTCATAATCGATTTTAGACATATATTCTGACTTTATCGCACCTACACTGCTCAACATTGTCAGAGTTTGGTCGTCGTTCACGGCTGAAGAAAATCTCCTGCCGCCGATCTGTTATGGTCCGATTCAACTTCGAACATCCAACTTCATCGCCCCACTAATCCAGCTTAACGCCAGCGGACATGCATTTGCTATAAAACGCTCATCTGATCGTTCGAACTGGGCCGTATCAGCAGGACCTTACGGATATGTCTGCTTTTCGGACCTTCCAAGAACAGTATGCCGCATGCTTTGCGTCCCTTTCTAATTTTTAGCAAATCTTTTTTTTTATTGCAGAAAGATCAATTACGGCAAAGTGGCAATGCCGTCTGTATCCAGCACGATGGTCTTCATAACCTTTTCTCGTTACTGCTTGAGCAAGGATTCTTTGCTTGTTGATTTCCTATCAGCGCCATTTTCCCTCATCATTCTTTTAACATCTGTTGTAGCGTTTTTCATTAGTGAATTCCTGATCTTCTCCCGTAATAATCTGAGTTTAAACCGATAACTTGGTATGAAATGTTATATGCGCATCAAAAAACTTTTTAGGATAATAAACAATACCTCAGACATATCCTTCTGTTCTGCTGAACGAGTTCTAACGATTACGCACTTATGAGCAATATTTGGACGCTTAGAGAATATATGGTACGAATACTATAAAACCAACCCTCTGATCCTCCAAGCTCATGTGCCCGTTTAGCATGACGAACTGTATAAAGGAATTGTCCCTCCGTTCTAATGATGTTAAAAACAGGGCCTACCTGTGTGCGCTTCTAATTGTTACTGAAATAAACGTTTAACTTTGGAGCAGTAGCCGAGTGTGACACAGAGCAAGATGAAGAGTAGCAATGAAATTCGGTTCGAAACATTGAACATAGGGTTTTGTTTCACCTTGTTTAATAAAACAGTTTGTGTTACGTGGTTATTCAAAATGAGTGTAGCCATATGGTAAGAAACACGAGGAGAATATAAAATTATGTATTTACCGACTTATAAAATTTTAATGATTTTGAACACCAATCATTTTCTCCATTCTTTTAAGAAAAGGAATGTTATAACCTTAAATGCTGGCCGATACTTCCTACAATCACTCGAACGTACGAAGACTTAAATAATAGAACCGACCGGAACGATGTTCATTCGAGCTATGGTGACCACAGTGCTCTGGATCTGCGGTAAAACTGCGACCAGCAGTAGGGAATGAGAGATAACTCTTTTAGTTCTGCACGGTAGAAATCCCACAGAATCAACGCGCGTTTTTTTATCAATGGCTACTTCCATGCAACAAGAGATTCACTTCGTTACAATTCGATGAAATCAGTTGAGAAACTACCAGAAATTTGTGGTCCTACGATGAACAAGGAAAACCTTCTGTTCTCTTGTGGTCATGCCAAAGCATGTGAAACACTGCCGTGAATCTTTGCTACATAAACGGAATCATTAGCCGCTGTTTCGATTAAAAATATAAACAGCATAAAAGAGTATATTAAAAATAAGAAACAGCAATTTCAAACTCGGAAGAGTAAAATCATAGTGAATCTACGCTAAATACTTCATAAACTGATGATATATTTAGATTTTGTGATTTTGATGCAAGGTTAATCTGCTTGAGCATGTTTCGATTGTACGACAACGGACTTCCTCAGGGTTAAACAACACTCGATGGTCAGAAAGAGGACAACGTTGTGCAGTACTGTACGTATACCTCTCTGTAAGTACAAAGTTGTATTTAACTCTTAGGATGATTATTCTCAAAGTATTTGTAATGAGATTTCTGCTTCCATTGGTCAAATTATCGCAGCTTTTGAAAGTATGGTAGTAAGAAATGCATTTTGTTTCTTTCCTTCAAAAGATGATGATACGCGAAAGTCAATGCTAATGTTGTCCAATCAGAAACAGCACTATGAAAACCTGCTATTGAATGCTTCGTCATCGTTGA